AGGGGCACCAGGAGATGGAACGACTGATTGATTGAGCCATGGCCCTCAAGGCAGCATTGAGCACTGTTGTAGCGTGCAGTTATTAATTCTGCAGTGCAGAAGAGAATGGAATCGCCTCCAAAGTTGGGTGCGACCGGCCATGTAGAGCTCTGACACTCCGTGCTGTGATTTCCGACCGGGTGCCCTTGGTTTGGTTTGGCTACAGGTTCTCAGTTAAAGTCATCTGCAAAGTACTTTCTTACGGGTTACTCTGCTGCTGAGCACTGTTGTAGCGTGCAGTTATTAATTCTGCAGTGCAGAAGAGAATGGAATCGCCTCCAAAGTTGGGTGCGACCGGCCATGTAGAGCTCTGACACTCCGTGCTGTGATTTCCGACCGGGTGCCCTTGGTTTGGTTTGGCTACAGGTTCTCAGTTAAAGTCATCTGCAAAGTACTTTCTTACGGGTTACTCTGCTGCTGCTGTAGAAATTTATCAGATTTCACAACTTTCTTCACAAGAGACTATGACACAGCAGTTTGTATTTTATTACTGCTGTGCACCAATCAGAGCATGGGGTCAGACAGCCCAACGTTGCAGTGTTTGCTGCTCTGCAGATCAGTCTCTGACACTTGTTCAATTATCCTCCTGCATCTTGTTTGATGTTTTTATTTCTAAGTTGCTTGTATATTTGCTTGTTTTGCTGGCAGATATAAATGAGTGCTGGAATTACCCTGGCCGCCTGTGTCAGCACACGTGTGAGAACACCCCTGGCTCCTACCACTGCACTTGTTCTTCTGGTTTCCGCTTGTCTTACGATGGGAAACATTGTGAAGGTACTGGACACTTTTTCCACGAAGAAGAAATTGCAGTATGAATTAAGGGACTTTAGAGAAGGAGTGAAGTGAAATATAAAGACAGTAAACCCATGTTCAGGTGTGCTCAGATTTGCAGATATTGGGTCAAATATTCAAACTGTCAGATGAGAGCTGATGAGTTTCTCCTGTTTCTTCCTTTCCCTCACGTGTTATTTTCTTTCCTTCCAGATGAGAGAAAAGGAGAACATAACAAAGTTAGAATAGCAGACTTTTCATTCAAATTTTCATAAAGATGAAGCTTGGTAGTGATAAAACTTGAAAAAATTGATTTTTAATTGAATGGAAATTTAATTTCTCCATCATTTTTTTAAGGCAATGATTACATATTTTTAATCAACTGTACCATATAAGGTCTGAAACACATGTTTGCATGTGTTTTAATTGGCATATCTAGAAATGGAATTCTGGTGCAACAGACATCCTCACGCTTCTTAGCATTCTGCCCAGGGAGCAGAAACATCTTCTTGGGACAAATTAGCCCATCCTTATGACCAGAAGGATCAGGTAACTGTTCTCAGAGGCAAGACATGGTGGAAGAGACTGTTCTGAACCACTGTGGCAATGTCTGTGGGTTTGTTTTTGGATACAGATGTGAACGAATGCGATGCGAGTCCCTGCAGCCAGGAGTGTGCCAATGTTTACGGTTCCTATCAGTGTTACTGCAGGCAAGGTTTCCAGCTGGCAGAAGATGGTCACTCCTGTAAAGGTGAGGCTGCTGCTTTGGCAGGTCACGTTAAATGTGGGTGTCCTCTTTAACAGCCAGGGCTGTTGAACTCTTAGCAGCTGCAGGCGATGCCTAAGGATGGTTCTGAGTTACACTCTGCTGCAGAAGCTACAAAAGGTAACTCCAGCCATTGGGAAATTCAGTTTATTTTCATGGCTCCTACTCGGGGCTGGAGTACCTTTGTGTGACCGTAGAACCAGTGAGGTTATTGTTTCACAGGGCTAGAGCTTATGACTGAAAAATTCAAAGGGAGGATACGTTTACCTGCATTGCATCAATTAAAGCCTCCACTCAGCCGCGGTTGAGTAAAAGCTTGCTCTGACTTCTGCTGGTGGTGGGGGAATGAGGAGCAGAGTGATCAGAAGGGAGAGGGGATGGGTTTTACCTGTTTTCCTGGAGTTACCAATATTGGCACATACTTTGGAGAGTCTCTGTTTAAGAAAAGGTGAAGAAACCCATGTTCTTCCCAGCACAAGGAAGCCCCCAGAGCAATCCTAGAAGAATTAGAGAGGTACCACAAAGTTTTTTCAGTCAGCTGTGCCCTAGACTTGCTGTTCTTTTCCATGAGTCCATACTACCTGCAGCCCGTATTTTTGGGAGCAGTTTTGTGCTCAGCATTTCAGAAAGCACCATCAGCTGTCCTAGAGGATTGTGAAACTTTCATGGTTGAATTCTTGCTTATGAATATATCGTAAATGTGTCAGATCAGAATTTCCTTGTGTACCACAGCCTCCCTTTTCAGATTTCTGTATTTTGGGGTTTTCATATGTTTGTAATTGTGTTTTTTCCCCAGATATCGATGAGTGCACACAGAGTGCAGGCATTCTTTGTACTTTCCGCTGCGTCAATGTTCCTGGTAGTTATCAGTGTGCTTGTCCTGAGCAGGGATATACCATGGCAGCAAACGGAAGAACCTGTCGAGGTAATGAGGAGTTTAGGAACTGGAAGGATTGTATCATGATGCTTTAATCCTTGGAATGATCTAAGCCATTATGGTTATTCAACCAAGTCTCAATTGTTTTACATTAGCCACTGTTAAAAAGCCAGTATTTGCCAAATATTGGTACCTGCAATGTCAACTTTATCCCGTCTTAGAAAATGTACTGCAGCCACTCAGCTGTCATGTGAGCTAATTGTTTACATGAATTCCTGAAGGAGCCACTTCATCGTTCAAATTGGGGCATTTGATTGCTGGCATGAGCTGTACGTGCACCTTGGCGCAGCAGTAAGTGATCTGGTTTCTTAGAGGCGCCAGATGTAGAAATCTGTGGCTCCATTATCAGCTGCAGTTTCCTGCCCCAGAAAAATGGGAGAGGAAAGGTGGGACTTGGACATCCGGAAGTCTGCCACCTAAGCTTAAATATGTTGGCATTAGTAAATGTCTGTGTAAATGACATGTGTCCTCCCTCCACACACACACCTTTCCTCCAGAATCATCGAGGTGTCTTCTGGGTGTCTGGTGTTTTTCATTTTGGGCTCAGTTGTCTGGTTTTGAAGTAAAAATCCCCCATTTCCAAAGGATGCAGTGATGGTGTACCAATGATTGAAGAACTGATTACATTTAAGTACTCTACATGCAT